TTTTTTTTTTTTCATTTTTCATTTTGAGGCAAGGTCTCTCTAAGTTGCCTAGGCTGTTATTGAACTTAAATTCTCCTGTCTCAGCCTTCAGAGTAACCAGGATTACAGGCTACATGCTCAGCTTAAATTTTATTTCTCTCACATGAGTACACTCTTATTTTTCTATGTAATTTTGATTTGTAATCCTTGTGGCTGGTGTGCTACACTATATAAAATAGCGTTTATTCTACTTAAAATTACCTGAAGAAAACTGGGATTGAATACTACAAAGGAGAATACCTAGTGCAGTGGAAACATAACAGAAGATCCATTCTGGTCTCATTGTTTAAGGAATATTCCCAAGGCAATGACAGATAGGAACCACATGAAATTGACGGAGATAAACATAGACAATTACTCTTTTTAAGAAAGAAAGCATTGGGGCTGGGATTGTGGCTCAGTGGTAGAATGCTCACCTAGCACTTGTGAGGCACTGGGTTCGATCCTCAGCACCACATAAAAATAAATAGATAGATAGATAGATAGATAAAGGTATTGTATTCAGCTACAACTAAAAAATGAATACTAAAAATAATTTTTAAAAAGAAAGCATTTTAGTTCTTTCTAATTGTATGATAAACTTGTCTTGAAAATAATTGTCAATGATATTTAATGACTTCTCATCTATGTAATTAAACTATTTTACTAATCTAAAATTTAAAAATTTATTTTTCTCGCTTTTCAGTATCAAATTGGGAGATATCTTATAATTGATGATTTAATCACAGTTTAATTTTATTTTTAATGTTTTATTTTTATTTTTAATGTTTAAAGAAAATTTTTGGTACCTGAGACTGAAGCCAGGAGTGCTTACCCATTGAGCCACATCCAACCCTTTTTAGTTTTTGTGATAGGATCTGGCTAAGTTTCCTAGGACCTTGCTAAGTTGCTGAGGCTGGTCTTGAACTTGCAGTCTTCCTACCTTGGCCTCTCAAGGCATTGAAATTACCATGTGCACCACCATATCTGACTATCGGGTTTCTTTTAAAGATACATAATAGCATTAATGGCATCTTAGATTTTAATGAAATGCAGAATTTTTTTTTATTTAGCCTTCCTTGAGGCCAAAATTATTTGCAATTTGGATTTTATTATTAAAATTCATAAATTTGAAGAGCATCATAGTAAATCTAAATCTGATGTTGTTAGTTGTATATCCCTTAAAATGTTTTTTTTTTTTCCATTTTTTCCATTTTTATTTTTTGATTCATTTTGAACCTGGGGCTTTGCACATGCTAAGGACATACTCTACTACTAAATTACATGCCCCCCAACCCTCTCTCTTAAAATTTTTTTCTTTACCACTTATTGTGTGCCGGATAGAATGCTAAGCATTTTAAATTATCTCATATAAACTCCACCACAGAGCCAGGTGAGGTGGAACACTCCTGTAGTCCCAGCCACTTGTGAAGCTGAGGTGAGAGGATCATTGGAATCCACAAGTTTAAGACTAGCCTGGGCAACATAGCAAGACTTCATCTCAAAAGAACAGAACAAAACAAAACAAAAACTCCACCACAGTTATATGAGTTAGTTGATACCCCAGCTGAAGTTTCGAAACAGTCATTTTATTTGCCCAAG